GATTCCATTTATTTGCTATATCAAGAATAGGCAAATCCATAGAGACAGAAAGCAGATTAGGTCCCTATTCACTTCTTGGTCTCCTCTGTTCCAAAAGACCCCCACAGGCTCCTCTGGGGCTTCCATCGTCCTGTGACCTGCAGGTACTAGCAGATCTGTTGGGAGACCATTCAGATACTACAGAAGCTGGGAAATGGACTAATGGCCTTTGAGGTTGTGGGCTGTAACTTCACCCTGTAGGGGTGGGCTTGGCAGGATCCTTCCCAAAAGGATCTCTATAGGAAATGTAACGTGGGAAACTTTTAGAAACATAGCTTCTATAGGAAACAAATGAGAAAACCAGACCACTAAGGATCAGTATAAAAATTCTTGGAGAAATCAAAGATGTCATATGGTAGTAAGACTGTGTGAAAGTAAAGAAGGTAGTCAGCATGGAGAAATATTCAGCCAGATTCCAAATCTTAATCTGAACAAGAAAATTCCTACTGGAGTAAAGCTGTTGTGGGAATCAGGAGACTGGAGAGACCAATAGGTGGATCAGGAGGATTTTATTGAGTGCACTAGTGGATTAATATCAAGGGACTGGGCCTAGAACAAAGACAGGACTTGACTTTTTTTTTTTTTTTTTTTGACACGGAGTCTCGCTCTGTCACCCAGGCTGGAGTGCAGTGGTGCGATCTGGGCTCACTGCAAGCTCCGCCTTCTGGGTTCACAGGACTTGACTTTTATACACACTTCTAAAAGGGGGTTGGCTAGTTTGAAACAAGCTTACAGTGGTGTGAAGCGTAGTAGAGCAAAAGTGAGTGTACAGAAGCAGAACAAAGGCAGTAAATCAAACTGTGACAGGTTCATAACTGAGACTTACATGTGACTCTTGCTATGCATCCAAGATGGCTGTTATGTAGGTTTGCTCAAGTCCCTTGCAGCAGCTTATAACCTTCGCTATGGTGCCTAGATGACTGCAATCCAGGCCTGCTCAGGCATATCTTATGACCTTCACTGTGCTACTTAGATGAAAAACAGAATACTTTGAGTTAGTAGTTACAGAAAACAGGAACCTATAAACTCATAAGTTTTCTCACACTATAGGGGAAAGGAAAATAAGAACAATTTGTTTTTCTTCTCCTCATGTTGAGGGAGTGCTGGGAGACTCTCCAGAGCACATTCCTTGGAGCCCTGGCTTCTTAGATAATGTTATCAAGACTTTGCCTGGGTCTGGAGTTTGCCTGTTACTTCTTTTGGGATGAGTCAACCTAATACAGAAAGCTTGTTTTTCTAAAAAAAATCCTTATTTTTCTCTTTTTATTTTTCTTTCTTTTACTTTCCTGCCCCAAATCCATGTAAAAGCAGCATGTGTAGAAACGTCTTCACCTGCCATGCCTCCCTTTGGAGGCATATCATACCTAATTCTGGACACAAATCATGAGTGTGAGGAATGCAGAGAGAAGACATACACATATAAACAATGTGGAAAAGTCTTCATTTCTCACCAGTGTCCAAGGACACATGGTAATACACACTGGAAGTTGATATTATGAATGTACAGTATGTGGGAAAGCCTTTGATTTTCCCAATTCATTGCAAATCCATCAGAGAACTCACACTGAAGAGAAACCCTACAAATGAAATCAATGTGGGAATCCTTCAGTTTTTCCAGGTCCTGTCAAATACATGAAAGAATTCACACTAGCAAAAGACTATGAATATAGGGAATGTAGGAAAAGATCCATTTTGCCTTTGTCTCTTAAAATACATGAAAGGATTCACACTGGATAAAAATTCTATATATGTAAGAAATGTGGTAAAGCTTTCAGATATTTCAGTTCCCTTGATAACCACGAACTACAGCAAAACCCTATCAATATAAGGAATGTGTTAAGACTTTGCTCATTCCAGCCCCCTTCATAATCATAATTAAACTTATACTAGGGAGAAACTCTATGAATGTAATTAATGAGGTAAAACCTTCAGATATTCCAGTTCCCTCCACAACCGTAGAAGAACTCATACTGGTGTGAAGCCATACAAATGTAAGAAATGTGAGGCTGGGCGCGGTGGCTCAAGCCTGTAATCCCAGCACTTTGGGAGGCCGAGACGGGCGGATCACGAGGTCAGGAGATCAAGACCATCCTGGCTAACACGATGAAACCCCGTCTCTACTAAAAAATACAAAAAACTAGCCGGGCGAGGTGGCGGGCGCCTGTAGTCCCAACTACTCAGGAGGCTGAGGCAGGAGAATGGTGTAGACTCGGGAGGCGGAGCTTGCAGTGAGCTGAGATCTAACCACTGCATTCCAGCCTGGGTGACAGAGCGAGACCCCGTCTCAAAAAAAAAAAAGAAAGCAATGTGGTAAAGGCTTCACTCATTCCAGTCACCTGCATAACCATGAAACAACTCATACTGGGGAGAAACTCTACGAATGTAGGGAACATAGGAAAGCATTTGTTTTTCCATGTTCTCTTATAAGACGTTAAAATATTCACACTGGAGAAAAACCCTATGTGTGTAAGAAATGTGGTAAAGTATTCACTCTTATTTGTTCCCTTTAACTACATGGAAGAACTCACACTGGCCCGGTGTGGTGACTTACATCTGTAATCCCAGCACTTTGGAAGGCCAAGGTATGTGGATCACCTGAGGTTAGGAGTTTGAGACCAGCCTGGCCAACATGGCAAAAGACTGTCTCTACTAAAAAATACAAAAATTAGCTAGGCATGGTGACATGGACCTGTAGTCCCAGCTACTCAGGAGGCTGAGGCAGGAGAATCGCCTGAAACTCGGAGTGAGCCAAGATCATGCCATTGCATTCCAGCCCTGGTGACAGAGCAAGACTCCATCAGAGGAGAGGGGAGGGGAAGGGAGGGGAGGGGAGAAAAAGAAAAGAAAAGAAAGAGAAGAGAACTCATACTGTAAAGAAACCTTATAAAAGTAAGAAATGTCATCAAGCTCTCATCCTCAGATGTTTAGTTCCAGGAACCAACTCTCATACAGCCTTTCTCAGTTGAGTTTCTATCACTTACAACTGAAAGAATTCTGGCAATGGGCTATAACACAACTATCAAAAGAATAAGGTGGATTTGTATGTACAGACATATTTTTCTGCAATATATTAAGGGAAAATAGCAATAGCAATTTTCAGAGCATTGGTATATTATGCCTGTTTTGTTGTTTTAAAAAGATATATATTTTTCTATTAATAGTGAGAACTGGAAAAAGAGGAGAATGTTCATTTCAACACATATAAGACTTTAAAACATATATACACATACATATATATTTAATCACAGAATAAAACAAAATGTTATAAAATTAAATGCTATGCATAAATTTTGCATCAAAGCCCAATTATCAAAATTTATTTCAGCTCAATTTCCATAAAAGCCTATGGAATGTACTTCCTAGGAAGGAATAAAAGAATAAAAATAGCAAACTGAATTACAAAGAAACATGAATGACATGGCTCTTATGAGCTCATTAGTGTTTTATAGAACTCTCTTCAATCTCCCTCTGAAAAGCAAAATCCAGAAAACGGTTATTTCACCATCCTTCTACAACTCCAGAAAAGTGAAGTATACACACTTGAAATCAAATGATTTCTGGACAGTTTACAAAAATATATTCATGTTACTATCTATGGTGCAATAATACAAGAAACTGAGGAATGGAAATACATCTGAAGAAGCTGAAATAAAATACTCAAATCAAGGTATAGAATTTTGCTACCTGTCATAAATTCAAGGTCACACAAAGGGTGGACCATAAGGATAGGACACACGATTAGTCAACACAGAAGGCTATCCTTTTTCCACATCAGTGTTTTCATCTCAAATATCAAATCCATACCCTTCTAGAGCACTCCCTAAATTCCCTATGCAATACCATTTGAGATGTTTAACGCTCCATGATTGAGGCAAAATGTATTGCATATAACTTAAATAAGAACAAAGAAGGCCTACTCATTATAATGAATCATGTGAATAAAAATTAATATAAGCTTAGATTTAAGCTAAAATAGAAATGAAATCTGAAAAACTCCATGTTATAAAAAGGAACAAGGAACGTATTAATGTTACTAACTTATCTACAAAATCTAAACCAAGATAAAGTAGAAATTAAATTGAAAAATCAATGTGATTTGGGAGGCCGAGGTGGGTGGATCACCTGAGGTCAGGAGTTTGAGACCAGCCTGGCCAAAATGGTGAAACCCCGTCTCCACTAAAAATACAAAAATTAGCCAGGCATGGTAGCAGGCACCTGTAATACGAGCTACTCGGGAGGCTGAGACATGAGAATCACTTGAACCCAGGAGACTGAGGTTGCAATGAGGTGAGATCATGCCACTGCACTCCAGCCTGGGTGACAAAGCGAAGCTCCATCTCAAAAACAAAACAAAATAAAATAAATACAAAAAAAAATAGCTGGTCATGGTGGCGAGCACCTATAATCCCAGCTACTCAGGAGGCTAAGACAGGAGAATTGCTCGAATTCAGGAGGCAGAGGTTGTAGTAAGCCGAGATAGCGCCACTGCATTCCAGCCTGGGTGACAGAGCAAGACTCCATCAAAAAAAAAAAAAAAAAAAAAGTGTTTTGTTTTTTTTTAAGTTGAATAATTGGTTTTTATCTTAAGGCATCACATCTAGAGGCAAAAATTTAAAAAAAGAGTAAAAGGTTTTAATATCAACATTTGGCTGAAACTGATGCAGAAATGAACATTACTTTTTGAACCTCTTTGCAACAAGATTTTTTTTAAAGTAAAAATATCTTTCAGTGATCAAATAATAAATCTAACATAAATCCTACATTTAGTAGCATCCAAAAAATAAGAATTATTTTTTTACTCAAATTTAAAAAACAAACAAACACACTTAATGGGAAAAAATGTAATACTCTTTCTAAAGCATGAAAACAGATACCAAATACCATGTGTTCTTCAATGGACCACAAATGCTACACTGACACTATGGCCCATAGTGGGTTTGAAAAGATATAACAAGATTCAATTTTGTTATTTCATCACTATAATTTTAATCATTAGGCATATTAATGTCACATACAGTTTTTAAAATATAAATATTTTTAAAAGCTGTGTTTTACAATATGATACCAAGAACACACAGCAAATACAGTTTGTACAGTTAATCATTTTGACTATGTCAGTAATATAATCAGAATACTGCAATGGTAAGAGAAAAATGCTTTTTTTTTTTTTTTTCTTGAGACAAGGTCTCACTCTGTCACTCAGGCTAGAATGCAGTGGCACAATCACACCTCACTGCAGCCTCAACCTCCTGGGCTCAAGGATCCTCCAGCCTCAGTCTCCTGAGGCTGGAACTACATGCATGCACCACCACACCCAGCTAATTTTTTTTTTTAATTTACTTTTAGTAGAGACAGGGTCTCACTATGTTGCCCAGGCTAGTCTCGAACTCCTGGGATCAAGTGATCCTCCTGCCTCAGCCTCCCAAGGTGCTGCGATTACAAGTGTGAGCCACAACTGGTCTGAAGAATACCTTGTTTTTAATCATTCCCATTCAGCAATAGTAAAAATGTTCTATGTACAACACTGGCTCTGAATAACACATTTCATTTCTGCTTCAAACTTTCTATGCTGTCTATCACTGTTTTGATGACTGCATAGCTCAACAGAAAAATGCATCCCATTGACAGTCTCAATAATAAGTCTGATTAGGCAGATAAATTCCCAATCATAAAAGCTTTTAAGACAAGTATTACGCAAATACAAGATGGAAATCAGACTCACTGTAATTGGGATGAAAAGGCAACTCTAAGAAGAACCCTGTACATACGACATCTATTGCATTTTTATGCACTAGTCTTACATTCCCTTCCTTTCTTCCTCATCTTTGAAGTGCTAAAGGTAATTACACTAAAAAGTTACTACCAGGCTTAATATGAGAGAGCCATGTGTACAAGAAAGCAAGACTTTCAGATAAGCAATCTCCAAATATTTTCTATTTTATATGCATTTATGATTTTTCTTATAAAGAGGGAGTGTTTTATGTGCAACACCTGCAAATGGAAATAAATCTACCTTTCACTCAAGCCCAAATAATCAAATATAAAACACAGACATTAAAGCAAACTACAATGGCAGCAGTGATTCTTAGGGCAGCATGTGCAAAATCCAGTCTTTCTACCTACTTACATCACTGTGGTCAGAAAAGAAATGTACCAAAACTACCTTTCCCATTCCACTTGAACTGGTTCCCCACAATCCCAACAAACATCTCCTGTGACATTAAGTTGTCATCAGCTTGAGTGATCCCCAGTTCACTCAACCTTTTCTTCTTCATCTGGCCTTTTTGTGTGGAGGCAGCAATTAGTTCATTTACAATTTCACAATTTCCCTCGACTTGCTCAGAAAGGTCAGTTCTTGCATAAAGCTCCATTTTACCAGTTGCACACTGCATCAGCTCTTCTAGATCCACTCCTTCAGTCACATCTGGCTCTCCACTTGTCTGAATTTTAAGTGCTTTATTTTCTGGAGAAACAAACAAATAATAACAAAGTTAAATACACAAGCTAACCCACCTAAAACATGTATTTCTACACAGTCTGTTAGAGCTTTCAGGTTTTTTTCAGCAAAGGATTTCTGCTGTCCTCTAACTGGATTTTACAAATTGTTCGCCATAAGATTTTCAACAAGCAGCTGCCTTGCTTTCTATGCCAAGGTTCCCTTAACCTCAGGCAGGATCAACAATTTTGAACTCTTCCTTCACCCTTTTCATCCCAGAATCACTGTTACTCAACAGACATTTCCTGGATAGTTACTATCTGCTAAGCACTGTGTCAGGAGCTAGGATGCAGACTGATAAGATAGCGCCACTTTTCTAAATGAAGTCCCAATCTAGCAGCTAATTCTAGATAGGCCCCATGATCCCCACCCCTGGGATTACTTTCATGGCTATAAAATGGCAGAAGAATTTTGCATTGTAATTTTACAACGTAATTAAGATTGCTAATTAGTTTTCTCCAGCTGGTTGCAAAAGAAGAAGTCAAGAGAAATTCAGAGCATGAGATTTGCCTTGAGGGATGTTCTCTGTTGCTGAGGTGGGGGGACCACAAGGCAAGAACCTGAGAGCAGGCTCTAGGAGCTGAATGCCAGCCGCAGCAAACAGCCAGCAGCCAGCAAGAAAATGGAGACTTCAGACCCACGAGCTAAAGGAATGAATTCTGCCAATGAACGACATGAATGCATCTGGAGGCAGAGTCTGCCCCCAGAGCTTTCAGATGAGTCCTGCCCAGCTGACACCTTGATTTTACTTTTTTGAGACCTGTGAAGAAATAAAGAACTTGCAGAGATGTAACTGGAGCGGATCCTGAAGGATGACAAGGACTACCCTTTAAACTCTTTCAACCTGAAAAAGCTGATTAAATAAATAAACTGCTTTAAACTTTCCTCACCTACATCAAAGCTTGATAGTGATCTACCTCATAGCTTGAAGTTCACAGATTTCCACTGAGTTAGTTCCCCTTTGCTGCCAAGAACGGCAGGTGACAGGAAGGCATTTACTTCCACCAATAAAAACAGAGATAAACTCCACTATCCCCTCCAGGAAATGCAGCCTGCAACCTGGTACATTCATTTCACTGCCTCCAGCCTTAACAAATGCCAGTAGGAGCCACTGTTGCTATCACACACCCACCATAGCATCACATACCCACCGTTGCTATCACACATCCACCCTCATTGAAAGCTAAGCATGATAAGGGAACTGCACAGAAACCACAACATCAAGATTTTGAATGACAGTTGAACTAGTTGACCTTGAGAGTTTCTTTCACATTCTATAATATCATGGCTTTATTAAGGTTCTCTCTCTCTGTCTGCCCAAGCATATCCCAACAATCTTTTTTAAGGAACAGAGGAAGACTCAGATCCTTAATCAGCATTTAATGCTGAAATAAATTATGTCTGGTTTTTATATTAAAAATTACTAAACATACCTTCAGTTCCATCTTCAGCATTTTCTTGCAGGTCAGAGAAGATTGTAGGTTTCACCAAGACAACACCATAACCTTCATTATTATGTATTATGTTATTCACCATGGATATCTTGGGAATGTCATAATGTTCATCTAAGAAGTCCTGTGACATTGAAAACAAATGTTTTAGGAACTGTCATAGTCAACATTTCCTGCCTTAAAAATCTTCTTTATTCACACTATTCTAAAAATAAAGGAGAAAAGCTATGCTTCGTCCCATGTTGTAGCACAGTCTGAGCCCTTAGTGACACAGCTTTCCTCTGTCATTTCTGCAGATCTATAGGTAACAAAGCATTCTCACAAGAGATTCCAATCACTGACTACTGATATTATCAAAATGTGTATATTGCTTGCTTTTCAAAACCAGAAAAACAGAACCCAACAATTTAATAAAGCATAATTTGTAGGTGAAGCCATTCTATCCGTTGAAAAGTGGGTGTTTTGGCCAATGCTCACCTTAATGAGGATCCCTTCCTTGCAGTGATGGATCCCATTGTCACTTAGGGTGCACTGACTCCCAGGGTAGATTTCTATACCGGCACCCTGTGAGTCACAGTTTGAGATAATGACAATCAGTTTTTAAAAGGCAAGACTGTAAGAGATTACTACAATTACTTCTTAGCCTTTAACACAGTACAAATGTACAGCACAAAGATAAAGTATTTTACAGGTAAGTGTTATCAGCCATTTTTAATCAACACTTCCATTTGTTCCATTTCTAGCAAGTTGTTGACAATTTATCACTTTCAAAACCACACACACACACACACACTCACACACAGGCTAAAAGTGTCAATACTTGATTCTTGCTCTACTCTCTTTCATTCTAGATAAATGTTTTCTGATTCTGCCAAGAAAAAAAGTCATTAACAATTTTGTTGAAAGATGTACTTATTCAAAATGACCATTCTCTCAGATACTCAATTAGTTGGAGAAAAGTATTTGAATTTAGTAAAATATTGTAATTTGAGGATAGAAACAAGATCCCACATTTTCCAAAACGTGCCAGTTTTAAAATACCCCAACCCAACTTAAAAATCATTTCTATGAGTTAAACAATGGCTTTCCCTACCACACACGTTAACATTAGCAGCCAGTTCAAGCGTCATTCAAACAGAGTAACCAGAAAGATCAAACATGACACTATTCTCTCACACCTCATGGCACCAAAAAACATAAGAGTAGTAAGAATTTATTTCCCAATGCTATGCAAGGCACTCTAGAAACAAAAATGATTCACTCAAACCTCTATAGTTATTTCAGCAACCATTTGGGAATAATTTAACACACAACAGCATCGATGAAGAAGAGTTGCTACAACCATTGATAACACATCTACTGCATGTATGTTCAGTTAATTTTCTAGTAGCAGTAGTATTCCGTGAGAAAACATTTATTATTACTTAACCCTGTACATGTGCCTGAATCATATGTATACACCAATCTAACTCTTCCGTAGAGAGGACTTTAAAAATGTGCTAATTGGGCCTACTTCTAGGAGATTTTCAGTTTGGGGTTATGTGCAAAAAAAGATTAGGGGTGATTACGTTAAAAAATATCTACAGCAAGATAGTTAAAATTAAATATCAAACCATCAGGAATCACATAAAATTTGTAAAGGAGAACAATTTAAACCAGTAGTCATGTAGCAAATGAAAGTCATATTCAAAATATGTTATGAAAAGGAACAGATAATTTGGCAATTAAAAAGTAACTGAGGAGCCTGCCACTTCTGGGATGATGGAGTAGATGTCCCTATTCCTCCTGCTAGGTACGACCAAAAACAGTGGGCATTATATATAAAACAAGCATAAGACTGAAAATTGGAGAGAATAAGACAGACCAGCTAGGGACCTCAGGACCCAAGAAACAACACCAACACAGTGGTAAGTTCTTTTCTTTTTGCTTCATAATCCCTAGACTTGGAGTTGAAGAAGCCAGCAATCCAGTACACCAACAGACATACACTTAAAAAAAAGCTGCTGTAACAAAAGGACTAGGCAACCTAGAAAGACAGAAAACTTTTAGATAATAATAGCTCTATTCCAGGTAAACACCACAGAATAAAACAGCAGCCCCAATCTCACCCATGCCAGCAAAGGTCAAGAGAAAAACCTAAACTTTTGCCCCCTCAAGGATGTAACCAGGTACCCAACACCTTGACTGGGGCAGTACCAGAGAAGATCAAGCAAGGAGCCAGGACTTTCATCCCCACCAACAACAGTTGCAAGGCCCTCCCTGCAGCAGTGTCAGTGAAAACTGTATGAGGAGCCTGGACTTGTACCCCTACCTGGCAGGGCCCAGACAACCACTCCCTCCCTATTAGGGCAGTGTCAGAGCAGGCCTCATGGAGATTCCAGACTTTCACCATTGCCCAGTGGTAACAAGACCACTCCCATATATCACAGTGCCAGTGGAGACCATGTAGGAAGCTAGACCTCCTATCCCTACATAGCAGTAACAAGGAGCTCCCCAACCCAACTTGGGTATCAATGGAGGCCAAGTGGGAAGCATGACGTCTACCTCCACCAGTAAAAAGACGATGCCCATCTACCCCTAACCCTGTCCCTTCTTGTAGTATATCAGAGAAGCAAAGTTAAAACAGAAGATCCAGATTCTCACAACATAATACAAAAATATTTGAAAATCTTGTGTCATACCAAGAATCAGGAAAATGTCAAAATGAATAAGACAATCAACAGATGCCAAAACCAAGATGTCAGAGATGATAGAATTAACTGACAGTGATTTTAAAGCAGCCATGATAAAAATGCTTCCATAAGCAATTATGAACACATTAAAAAAAATGAAAAATGAAAGTCTCAGCAAAGAAGTAGATGATATAAAAAACCAAATGGAAATTTTAGAACTGAAAAATACAATAACTAAAATAGAAAGCTCAGTGGATGTGCTCAACAGCAGAATGAAAACAACAGAGGAAAGAATCAGTGAACTAGAAGACAGAACAATAAAATTTACCCAATAGCAAAGAAAACATACTGAAAAAGAAAAGTAAACAGAGCCCCAGGGGTCTGCTGGAATATAACAAAAGATCCAATATTAATGTCATCAGAGTCCTGGAAAGAGAAAAGAAAGAGGGTGAAGCTAAAAACATACTTGAAGAAATAATGACTAAAAGCTCCCAAATTTGGCAGGATTTGGATAATAAGCCTACAGGTTCAAGAAGCTGAGCAGACACCAAACAGGATAAACTCAAAGAAATCCATGCCAAAATACATCATAATTAAAATAGTGTAAGCTAAAAACAAAAATCTTGAAAGCATCAATGAAAATTTTATGCCTTACCTATAGGAGAGCAAATGTGATTGACAGCATCAGAAACCATGGATGCCAGATGAAAGAGACAAAGTATTGTTCAAGGGCTAAAAGAAAAGAAATTGTCAACCCAGAATCTTATAACCAGTGAAAATATTCTTCAGGAACGAAGAGGAAATCAAGATATTCTAAGAAGGGAAAATAAGAAAATTTGTCACCAGCAGACCTATCTTCATAGAATCACTAAAGGAAGTTATCTAAACAAAAATGATAAAAGAGTGGATCTTGGAACCTCAAAAAGAAAAAAAAAACCTACACAGTAAGCAAAGATATAGGTAAATAAATACAGTAAACTTTCCTTCTCTTGAGTGTTCTAAATTATGTTTGACATTTGAAACAAAAATCATAAAATTGTCTAATATGGTTCTAGATGTATGTACATAAGGGAAATGTTTAAGACAGTTATAAAAAGGAGATGGTAAAGAATAATAAAAGAAGGCAAAGTTTCTATACTTTCCTTGAACTGGTGACACCAGTAAACTGTTGGTACATATAATATAAAACCTAGAGCAACCACTAAAAAAGCTATACAAGGAGATATTCTCAAAAACAAATGAAATTCTGAAAAATATTCGGGTATCCACAGTTGGCAGAAAAAAAGCAAATCATGAAATGAAAAGCAGAACAAACAGAAAACATGAAATAGACTAAAAGTTTAACATTAATAATTAAATGTAAGTGGTCTAAATACAATTAAAAGACAAAGACTGCCAAAGTGGATTAAAAACATGACTCAACTATATGCTGCCTACAACTCGCTTCAAACAGAATATAGGCAAGTTGAAATTAAAACAATAGAAAAAGACAATGCTAAAGGGATCAATTCAACAAGAAGAGCTAACTATCCTAAATATATATGCACCCAATTCAGGAGCACCCAGATTCATAAAGCAAGTCCTTAGAGACCCACAAAGAGACTTAGACTCCCACACAATAATAATGGGAGACTTTAACACCCCACTGTCAACATTAGACAGATCAACGAGACAGAAAGTTAAGGATATCGGGGAATTGAACTCAGCTCTGCACCAAGCAGACCTAATAGACATCTACAGAACTCTCCACCCCAAACCAACAGAATATACATTCTTCTCAGCACCACATCGCACTTATTCCAAAATTAACCACATAGTTGGAAGCAAAGCACTCCTTAGCAAATGTAAAAGAAGAGAAATTAAAACAAACTGTCTCTCAGACCACAGTGCAATCAAACTAGAACTCAGGATTAAGAAACTCACTCAAAACAAAACTGCTCAACTACATGGAAACTGAACAACCTGCTCCTGAATGACTACTGGGTACATAACGAAATGAAGGCAGAAATAAAGATGTTCTTTGAAACCAATGAGCACAAAGATACAACATACCAGAATCTCTGGGACACATTTAAAGCGGTGTGTAGAAGGAAATTTATAGCACTAAATGCCCACAAGAGAAAGCAGGAAAGATCTAAAACTGACACCCTAACGTCACAATTAAAAGAACTAGAGAAGCAAGAGCAAACACATTCAAAAGCCAGCGGAAGGCAAGAAATCACTAAGATCAGAGGAGAACTGAAGGAGATAGAGACACAGAAAAACGTTCAAAAAATCAATGAATCCAGGAGCTAGTTTTTTAAAAAGATCAACAAAATTGATAGACCGCTAACAAGACTAATAAAGAAGAAAAGAGAAAAGAATCAAATAGACACAATAAAAAATAATAAAGGGGATATCACCACCAATCCCACAGAAACATAAACTACCATCAGAGAATATATAAACACCTCTAGGCAAATAAACTAGAAAATCTACAAGAAATGGTTAAATTCCTGGACACAAACACCCTCCCAACACTAAACCAGCAAGAAGTTGAATCCCTGAATGGACCAATAGCAGGCAATTGAAGTTGAGGCAATAATTAATAGCCTACCAACCAAAAAAAAGTCCAGGACCAGATGGATTCACAGCTGAATTCTATCAGAGGTACAAAGAGGAGCTGGTACCATTCCTTCTGAAACTATTCCAATCAATAGAAAAAGAGGGAATTCTCCCTAACTCATTTTATGAGGCCTGTATCATCCTGATACCAAAGCCTGGCAGGGACACAACAAAAAAAGAGAATTTTAGACCAATATCCCTGATGAACATTGATGCAAAAATCCTCAATAAAATACTGGCAAACCGAATCCAGCAGCACATCAAAAAGCTTATCCACCACGATCAAGT